CGTAAAGCACTCTGATGCTTCGCATCATGAGTCGTGCAATAATGTAGATAAAATAAAACTCGATTATTTAAGGACAAGTAAAATAGTTTAGTAAAAATAAATTACATAAAATCAATTGATAAAATTTTAGTTAATGAAAATTGAGTTCTTAGTTAAATAAATAATTCTTAAATTCTGGGAAAATAATTCGGAGTAAAATTATAAACGATCTAATAAAACATTTAATAATTTCTGGTAAAATAAATTAGACAAAGTAAAATAATTTAACGAAACAATTTATAAAATAAATTAAGTAAATTCAGTAATAATAATTTTGTAAATACCCGGAAGTAACAAAACGTTGTTGGCAGATTATTAAGACCTCTATCAATAGATTTTAATCTATTAATACAAGATACGAAGACCTCTTGGTATTAAATATTTAATTGTTGTATTATTAAGACCACGACATTAAATTAGTTAATAATTTTAATTTGGGATTTAGATTAGGAATTTTATAAATTAGTTAGGAACTCGGATTTTGTAAATTAATGAATGGAATAAATGGATCTAGGCATTAAGTCGGATTTCATTTAATTTTGGGAAATTAATTTTGTTAAATTGGAAATAAATTTATAAATTTTGATATGTAAAATCCGGGGTGATATTTAGTGAGTTTGGAAAAATAATAATGTGGGTGGGTTAATATTAAATGTTGTAGTGTTGCCTAGGGATTCATGGTATCCTCCTCTGCTTCCTGGGCACACTTAGAGTCCTTTGCATAGACGCCCGGGTTGGGGCTGCAATAGGCATAAATTGGAAAAATAAATATTGTGGGTGTGTGTGGATAAAATATTATTGCAGTGTAGCCTAGGGATTCATGGTATCCTCTTCTGCTTCCTGGGTGCACTTAGAAGCCGCTGTATAGACGCCGGATTTGGGGTACAACGGTAGTAAGCTAGAAACCGCGGTATGGACGCTCCATATGAGGGTACTGTCGGGAATAGAAACTATGATAGAAACCGCAGCAAAGGCGGGAATAAGTTCGTTTAATTATTTTGTAAGGGGTTTTTATTGTATATTAAGGGTTGGTTAAATAAAATGAATTGTTAAAATGAATTTCTTTTGATAATTTCTGTATCCTTCCTAATAATCTCTCACGACCCTAAGTCTTTACTCCATGTTCTGGTCCAGTATCTAGATACTGTGGGAAAAATCCAGTGGCGCCCTAAATAAATTTAGAGGCGACCAAGAGAGCGGTGCATCCCCGTTCCAAGTTATAGCAGTTTGAAAATTGAAAAAATCGTGTATCATCGAATTTTGATAAGACTTTTAAGCTCGAAGAGCTCAAAAGCATAGGAAAGCTATCTCTTTGAGTTCGGAGAGCTCCAAATAACTCATAAATTGTATTTTTGAGCTCCAAGAGCTCGAAAACTATATAAGAGCAATTTTAAGCGCCTAGGTATGGAATTAGCGGGAAGTTGCAGGGATGGTCTTCAGGGTCAACGGTTTTCCTAATTTTTTTAAATCAAATATCTCTTAAATAAATTGATTGATTTTGATACAGATTGCAACAACCGACGCAGTTTTTCAAGCATAAAGGATTGTTTCTTACTTACTAAACGATCCGAAAAGGAATTTTTGAACCCGCATGGAAAAATATATATGCGAAAAATATATGCAAATATATATTTTCACATATATTTTTTTTGCGCTAAATATATGTCCGCATATATGTTCACATATATGCGTGCATATATGTTTACATATATGTGCGCATATAAGTGTCTAGAGATACACGGAAAAAACTTAACTTGAATCAAGAAAGTTAAATTTTTCAAAATTTAACTTTCTTGATTTGAGTAAAAAAATTCTCAAACTTAAAATTTTTTTTTCAGTGTATGCTTACATATATGTCTACATATATGTCTACATATATCTATATATATATATAAGCAACTTTTTTTTTCTTTGTTATCGATAAACTTGAAAACTACTGGACCGATCGGCATGAGACCATTCGACGAGGAATTAATTGTAGAAGGTTTTAGGCTATTCATTTTTTGAATTCCATCAACCCTTTGCCATTTTTTTTAAAATTTATGTAGATAGTCATTTGTTTCTGCTACTAAAACAAATGAACATCACTTCTTCTTCATATTCGAGCGCACAAAGACCGGCAAAATGTCTAACGTCACTGCAATGCTTATAAACGCGTTTCCACACACCCTCCCACGTATTCACCCACGCACTCCCACCTATCCACTCACGCATCCACCCACGCACTCCCACGCATCTACCCACGCATCCAACCACGCACTCCCATGCATCTATCTACCCACGCATCCACAAGGTTGTGACATGAATTATTAGACCGTTGTCTATAGCAACGGTTTTGTTCATTCATTTCTAGGTTATGTAAAGATGTCATTTATTTACGCTCTTCTTTTGTTTCAAAACAAAACAGATTCTGTCTGTCATTTAATCGATTGTGTTTTGTTTAGTATTTATTAGTTATGATACGTTTAGTATTCGTTAGTTAGTTGAACGAAGAAGAGGGCCTCCAACTTATGAAAGTTAGTATAATTAATATATTCACGTTGATTATATATTTTATTTTAATCTATATATATAAGAGATTTGCACCTATATATTGACTCATCACGATATCTCTGGAACTATAAGACCTAGAGACTCGAAATTTGGTAGGAATATTCCTTTTACTGGGTAGAGGTCAGCTAAGAACGGATTTTACGAAATTCCACCCACAAGGGGGGGGGGGGGGTGCGGGGGCATTAACAATAAAAAATTCCCGTTTTTAAACTATAGCTCCTATCGACTTCAAATTTAGAAGGAATCTTCTGTAAGAGATGTAGAAATAATCTATAAGCAAATATTACGATATCTCATCCCAGAGAGGGTTGCGGAGGTGGATACTAACAATAACAATTTTTAATTTTCAAGCTGTAACTCCTACAGACTCCAAATTTTGTAGGAATTTTTTGTAAGTGATGTAAAAATAATTTATAAACGAATTTTAGGATATCTCACCCCAGAGAGTAGCGGGGATGGGTATTAGCAATGAAAATTTTTAATTTTTAATCTATAGCTCCTACAGACTCCAATTGGGTAGGAATTTTCGCTAAGAGATGCAGAAATAATACACGAACGAATTCTAAGATACCTCACAGGAGTTTGCGGGGGTGGGTGTTAACAATTAAAATTTTTAATTTCCAAGCTATAGCTCCTATAAACTCCAAATTTAGTAGAGGTCTTCTATATGTGATATAAAAATGATCTAATAATGGATTTTGCAACGAATCAACTTCAATAATGATCGTGGGGGTAAGTTTTAACAATAAAAAATCTTAATTTCCAAAATATAGCTTCTAAAAATACTAAATTTGGTAGAAATTTTTTATCTTCTATGTAGAGATCACCTCAAAATGCATTTCATAAAGTTCACTTCCGATAATAATTGCGAAGGTGGGTGTTAAAATCTAAAATTTTCATTCCAAAACTGTAACTTCTACAGACTCCGAATTCGGCGAGAATCTTCGTGTATGATGTCCAGTTCAGTTAAGGGATTACAGAGACGTTGATAATCAAAATTTCCCGTTTGTAAAATATAGCTCTTATAGATCTCAAATTTGGTAAAAATCGTCTACATGTGGTGTAGAAACAATCTGAGAGCGGATTTTACAACGAATCACCCCCAATAAGGATTGCGAGGGTAGGTGTTGCCAAAAAAAAATCTTTATTTCCAAAATATAGTTTCTAAAAGCTGTAAATTTGGTAGGAATATTTTATTTGTCATGTAGAGATCATCTCAAAACTGATTCCAAAAAATTCTACTTCCGATAGGGATTGCGGGGATGGGTATTAAAATCTAAAATTTTAATTTCCAAACTGTAACTGCTGCAGATTCTGAATTTGGTAGGAATCTTCGTGTACGATGTCAAGTTTAGCTGAGAATGAATTTTCTCGAATTCTAACCCCAAAAGAGATTGTAAGGGTATTAATAATGAAAATTTCTCATTTCTAATCGATAGTTTTTATAGAATCGAAGTTTTGTTGGAATCTTTTATTTATAATGTAGAAATCATCTCGAATAGGATCTTACGAAGTTCCTCCCCCTTATAGGAGTGCGGAAGTGATAATTGTCAAAAAATTCATATTCTTCAAATGCAGTTCTTACAAATATAAAATTTGATAGAATCTCGAGAGAAACAGACGAATACCGGGATGGCCTCCAAGGTCAACGGATTTAAATATTTTTCTTACTTAATAATGATATTTTCTTACAACAATCGTCTCTTTGGCAGCGGCAAAAAAGTCATTGTAACGTTTTCAAAATTTAACATTACATATAGCTATTCAGTCAACGGACTAAGAATTTTACGTGCATTTCATCACATAACCGATGAATTGTTCTTATTACGGGATCGCGAAAATGTAACAGATTAAAAGCATTGCATTAACTAAACACATGAGATATAGAAAAGAAATTTGAGATATAGGAAATATAAGAAAAAATGAATAAAAATGAAACATATAATTTAATTTATTTCTTTTTCAATTCGCCCAGCAGAGCGGGCGGGAACCGCTAGTGTAAGCATATGCTGACATATATATGTCAGCATCTATGTGAAAAATATATGTTGACATATTTTTTTTTTGCGTAAATATATGCGGCATATATATTATATATGCGACATATATTTTTGACATATATATTTCTCCATGCGGGAAATTATATGAGGAAAACGACTTTTTCCAAATTTTTCGACAATAACGACATCTCACGAACGAATCAACCGATTTCGACCGGGCTGGCAGCAATCGACGTGGTTTTTTGATGTTAAGAGCTGATTAGTTTTTGAAATTTGAAAAAGGATTAATAAAAATTCCGTCAAAAAACCATGATAGAGAAGTTATTGTAGTTTCTGACAAACCTTTCATTTTCTGAATACTATAATTAGTTTTTTTACATATAATTTCAAAACCCAGTTCATTCAATGTTAAAATAATGGGATAAATGAACACGATTTCATTTCTTCACTCATATTCTTGAAAAAATTATGAAAGGAATCGATTGCAAATTCTTTTAAGAGAAAACTTTTTTCTTCAGCATTAGTATTATGACGAAATAAAAAAAGACTCGCCTTAATAGGTGTAATCGTCTTATCTTCATCTTTATGACCCATTACTAATACATTCATTCCGGCAAATTTAGATATTTGATTGTTTTCATCTGCTTCATATACACCGATGGAAATTCCGTGATTGAGAGCTGTAGTCCAAAAAGCTCGTATTTCAGCTACTGATTCTGCATCATCAATCAATTCTATAAAAAACAATTTATTTATTGAACATTCATAACACTCTTTTATGATTATTTTTACCCCTAACTGAATTTAACTTATGTTGAATTTATAAATCATTTTATTTCCATCAGCATAATTTTCTTTCTATCAAAAGAAAACTTTATAAAATAACCCTTATTCAATAATCATGAAAACTGGCTTTGAAATTTGTATTTTCATTTGTCTATTTTTTTTAGAGAAAAACTTTACTTTTAAGGAATCGTTTTTTCAAAAAATAATTTATATATTAATGTACTTACTGATACTTCGACATGCCGGTTCGCTTGAAATGAAAACAGTGCACAAATGATCTAGAGCTTCTGCATATCTGTTCGGAGGTATCTCTTGAATTATGAATTTAACTTTTTTTCCATCTGCCTTGACAGTTTCAACAATAGACCAAACTCTTGGATCACCCGGTGGGCGAGACCAAACCATGTTTTATGTCAGTAACTTAGATTTAATCAAAATAATTATGCACTTGTTAAGTTATTATACGAATTATGTAAGACATATTACTGATATTAGCTCAAACAATACATATAAATACCTATTGTTTTAATAATTTTCTAATTCTGTAATCACGACAGTGATTATTTAAACATCTATCTGTAATAATAATTACTGAACCAACAGCACAAGTTATCTTTAATATTTTTATTATGAATTTTTTTTAATCTCAGTGCGTCTACTTTAACTTCTGGTCAACTGACTGTTCGTTAGATATAACTGATTCATGTTTATATTCCACAGACTAGTTAATTAGCTACTAACTCAAAGCGCGTGATCACGATTACAATCAACCAAGCAAAGACATTATGTATGACTTTTAACTCCCACAACTAAGTTTAGAAAATGTTTTATCCTTTATTAAAAATAAACTCTATACAACTTTGCTGAATCTGGCAAGCATTGAAGTTCAGATAAATATTCATTAATATATATATTAAATTTTTTAAGGTTAGTGAATTATTACGCATTAAATATATTTGTCGTTAACTACTAGACGTTGATTAAAATTTACGTGACTTGATGTCATGTTTGATATCAATTAATTATACTGTCATTCATACATATTACTCATATTCAATGGACTGCTTATTAGGTATATTACACAAATAGTATGTAATTTTCTTTTATTCTTTTTATCGACTCATTCAATACTAGATTTGACATACTTTTAAATAATCCAAATGAGACGATGCACCGTAAAGTAGTTATAATTATAATTCGATTTCGATTTATGTTAATCACAACATCATTAAATGTTATATTATTTATATGAATGATGAATGTACTTCCTGAAGGTCAGAAAAAATTTTTTTCTAATGTAAGTAGTATACCTAAAAAATAAGACAATTGTTTAAAATTCCAATACCTGATATTAGTATTGTGTACTCAGAATGTTTTCAAAAGATTCATGTCTATAACCACATTATAGTGCTATACTTATAACCAGTATTTCATACTTTAATCATATATTTAGTAATAATATTTAAAAATAAAATTTTACTGTTCATTATATAATATATATATATATTTGTATTTCATACAGGTATTATTATAGATTGCCTTCAGTGATTAAGAGACAATACAGATAAAATGTTATATTACAATATCATTTTTCTTATTATTATAATTGTCAGCTTATACAAAATTGCATATCGTTACTTCACCATAGGAAGAAATAAATATAGTTGATGTTGCTGGTAGGAAAATAATTTATATTGCAATATTTTGCACTTTACTTACTATGATAATACATTATAAATAGTATACGCAAGTTTAATAATCTGTAAATAAGTTTATTAATTCAAAAAATAAGATGAATAAATGATTATTTTTCAATGAAAATATTACCTTAGTAAAAGACTCCAAAGACAGAATAATAAAAAAACTGCTGGTTATCAAAATAGGCCTGTAACTTTTGCACATTATAATGACCACCGATCTTCGAATATTGTTGCTCAAACTAGGCCAATCTGCGTCATAAATTCCCGTAGCTATATCAGCAGACTGAAATGTGTCATAAGTTTTGTAGTTGAGGGTACCTAGTGATCTTTTTTATTTTTTTGTCAATACTTTATTATAAACTTGCCTCAGAAGTCAGAGTATGAGCGCAGTAACACTGTTGGAACACTTGAAAATAAATAGTTATTAAGAATCCAAAGTATCCAGCGAAGGTCATAGTCATCGCGTCTGTATGAGACATTAAAAACGCCAAGGTACAGAGAATAACAGAACTCACGGTATACTGCAGAAATATAACGTTCGAAAATACGTTGTTCATATATTTAATCAAGCTGAAAAAAGTTATCATAATCTTTCAATAAAGCAATTTACAATTAATCTTTTTCATTCCTAAAGTACATACTTAATGAGGTCTATGTGGTACTCGACCCAATCAGCAATCATCAACCGTTCCGTGGTTGCAATATCGGAACAGTCGGTATCATTGGTAATGCCTTTTAGCTCTTCGAGCATCATTTTAAATCTATATTTTAAAATGTGAACTTGTGCGCACATACTGCATAATATTGCGGATATCAGGAGGTCCAGCACCAAGTCTACCACATTAGCGGTGTTTATTGCATACAATTGAAAGGATGCTGTTAACCAATATACTATCGGGTTTGAGTAGTTATACGGAAACCATCCTTTGTATGGAAGAGTATGTGGTGGATCTAATACACCAGAACGGGATGCTGAATACAGCCATATTCCTCCGATAGTTGTCAGCGTGTAAGATACAAATATGTTCCTGTAAAAAATTATCATCTTCAAATATTACACAAACACATCTTTGATCAAATCAAATGATTAAAAAAGTGTAAAAACTAGTTGATTTTTTTTAAGGTTAAAAATTCATCTAAAAAAGTAATAGTTAACTATAAATGAGCCATAGAAGAAAATCATAGAAAAAAATTAGAAAAACGGTTCACCCTAAAGGCCATCCCAGCAACTTCCCGCTCATTTTGTATTTAAACGCTTCAAACTACACATTACGTTTTTGAGCTCTTCGAGCTCAAAAATATTATTTTTGTGTCAATTTGAGCTCTTCGAGCTCAAAATTCTAATAGCAGTTTAAAGACACAATTTTTTGAATTTTCAAGCGGCAATAACTTTTGAATGAATGAACCGATTTTCACGCGGTTGGCGGCAATCGACGCAGTTTTTGAAGCTCCATGAAAAATTTTCAAGTTTGAATCGATCGAGCCATGAATTTCGAAGTTACTACAAAAAAACACTTTTTTCGATTTTTTTCGACAACGATATCTCACGAACGCATCAATCGATTCTAACGTTTTTGGTGGCGATCGATGGGGGTTTTCAAGGTTAAGAGCTGATTAGTTTTTGAGACCGATCGGTTCAGCCAATTCGGAGATATTTAAAAAAAATAAAAAAAAAAAACAACTTTTTTTTTCACTTTTTTTTCACTTTTTTTACTTTTTCTCGAAATCTACCGGTCGGAATCGGTTCAAATTTTCAGGAAATCTAAGTTTAGTGAAGCCCTTTCGAATGACACCAACCGCGATGAAATCGGTCGAGTCGTTCAAAAGTTACAAGAGGTTTACATACACACACACACACACACACACACACACACACACACACACACACACACACACACACACACACACACACACACACACACA